TTACATTTAGTAGTACATGTTTTTTTCTCTATTTTTTAAAATTTTGTTTATGGTTTCCTTATGATCTGCTTTTAGTTTGCTCTTAATCGCAAGGATAATGAGGAATAGCAGTGAACAGTTTTGACAGCTGGTACTTGGTAATCCCCCCTTTTGTTCCTTGAACTCTCTTCCTCCTCAGTGGATTTGAAATGCGCTTAGATTTAAGAATTGGAAGACTATCTCATGATTTTACAATTATTTGCCTGAGTGCATAGATAAGATAGACAGTAAAGGTAAAAAAAAATAGAATGACTCTGTACTTTATAGTTACTGTCTTGTTTTTCCTTTCTGACACTCTGTGTATGACATTCCTAAAATGAGAGCCGCCATAACTGTAGGCAACATGTCTCCAGTGCTTCCGGCAGTGCTGACACCTGTAAAACCTCTGTAGGTGTTAATTCCTTGCATTCCTGACCCTGCGGTAAAAGCTCTGTGTATGTTCTTTGCATCCTCACAGCCGGCCCATGAGGGAGGCACTATGAACATCATCCCCATTTTATAGATGAAGATACAGAGACACAGGAAGACATTAAGTAGTGGAGCCAGGACTCAATCACAGGCAGTTTAGTTCCAGTCTGTGCTCTTTCTTACCCACCACAATTTCCGCTACAAAGTAGATATATTTATTTTTGTGTAAGGAGCCTTCCCTTTCCTTTTCACCAGTGCAGACTGAATGTACATTCAAGACCTAAGTCAAATCCTGCCCCTTATTTTAAACCCCATCCTAATTATCTCGGCCTAAAATGCTCTCTCTTTTCTTGAATTTCAATGTCAATTCTTGTCTGTCAGTCTAATTTGCAAGTAGCTTTGATATAGCTGTACCATTGTTGTCTTATAACTATTGCTTATCTGAAATTGTCTCTTGTGGCTTTTTATCATGGCCTGACACTTTGTGCTTTGGGTTACCACTTACCGGCTTAGGGTAACTTCCCCAAACCTCCTTTTTGTCATTTGTGAAGTGGTGCCAGTCTTTGCTTTAGTAAATGATTAGTGTTATCTGTAAAGCTGCTAAACAATTATCACTTGTCATTACCTCCTTTGGGGGCTCCCTGAGGGCTGCTAGAGTTAGAAGGCTGATCTTTGCAGCATAAGTGAAATCAAGCATACATGAACAGAGATGCTATTTTTAAGATCATCTAGCTCATTGCCACAAGATATGAAAGAAGATGACACTGACAAAGTAGCAATTCCCTACTTTTGGGGATGTGATCTTTGAAGAAAAATCTTTGTATCGAGCAGTAGAGAAAGAGGCAAGAAAAACAGAGATAGAACAAATTAATTTTTAAAAAGTGAAATGTAAGAGGGCAGGTGATCCAGATCTATAGTAAAATGTGACATTTTTGTTTATAATTATATGTTATTAATACCAGCATTTAAAGCATAATTGCTTATAACCTGTCATTTTGTGACAGGTTATATGCTATTATTTTGTGATAGTTTAAGAATCAAGAATACTATACGTTAGTGTTTATTTGGAACTTTACCATTTATGCCCTTGGCCTCATACGCGGGCAAGGAAGCATGTGCTGCACAGACCAGGATGCCAGTGACTCCTGGGAGCTACGCAGCACCCTCCCGCCCCCCCCATATTTCTCTCCCTATAAACAACAATTTTCAATTCTTTTACCTGATTCTTTTATTATGTATTTCCATTTTCCAAATAGCATGCCTATGTTTCTCTTTCTTCATTTTTCTTTTCAGTTTTGAGCAATGTTTTATTTTAACAGTGGGTAATGAGAATTTAGTCCCCTCGCCTTCCCTGGGCACACACACTTGCATGCTTCCATGCTTGCTGTCTCTTACATTTCCCATCTTTTTCCAATATTGTTCTCTCATTCTGCTCTAATTTTTGGTAGACTGCTCTAATTTTTGGTAGATATAGATATAAACACTATCCACAACTGAACCAAGTAGTGTATTATCATTTTCCTTTTTTGGGGGTACAACTTCTTGTCTTGTATTTTTAGTTTTATTTTCATGCTCCATGAATTCATTCCTGAATTCTCTCCAAGTTTTATGAATCTCCTGTTGAAATGTCCACGCACACTAGTATCTTACCAGCTATGCATTTGTGAATAGCTCTGAGACCTTCTGACTTACTTCTCAACACTTCTTACAGAGGGTTCACGTAGATAATGTTTGTACAGCAGGAGTGTGGTAAGTAGCTGAGGACTCTCGTGGCCAGAGGTTTCTCAGGAGCTCCAGCAGCCTCCACTCCTACCAGCAGCCCTTGATTAGAAGAGATTAATACCTAGGTATACACGTAACCCATCCAGGGCAAACCTCTGTGTTTCTTTTTGGCACATTTGTTATGAAGCTGCGGTCCAAGAGGTCTCCTGTCATCATTCGGGAGATTCCTTTTACCTTTTTCTTACAATGGATCCTCTTTTTCCTGAATTCTTCCTCTTATTTTCTCATTTTGGTAGAAATGTATATTTGGTAGAAGTGTATATTCTCGTAGTTGTTAGCTATTTATTATAGCTATTTATTATAGATACTCTCTGTTACCTACAATGATAGCTTCCAGAGATAGATATATTGATAGATATAGATAAGATAGATATTTTCTTAATTAGTTGCTAACAAAATTTAAAAGACTGTCAGTTCCAAATATTGAGGAGAGGTAGAACAGTTGGAACTTTCATACACTTCTGGTGGGAGTATAAAATGCTACTTGATAAATTCATTAAGACACATTTCTAAAAATGTCTATTTTGCACTCATTCGTGATTACTATTTTAGCTGGGTATACAATTGTAAGTTGGGGAATTTTCCTCAAGATTTGAAGACATTGTTCCATTTGTTTCTCATTGTGGATCTGTCTTCCTTTGTTGTGCTAGGAGCAGTCATGGGCTCCTTTCAGTCTCAAACCACATGTCTGTCAATTTGGGAAATTTTCTTATTTTATGTCTTTGATTTCTTCCTCTCTGTTTTCTCTGTTCTTCAGAAATCAGACCTTCTAGATTGGGAAGTAATTTTCTTACTGTTCTTACTTTCTACCTGTTTTTTTTCCTCAATTTTCTGAGCAGTTTTTTCTTAAACTTTATCTTACAGTCTGATTATTGAATTTATATTAATATATATATTTTTAATGTACAAGATATCCCTTTTCTCTGTTCTTTTTGTTTGTTTAATGGATGCAGTATCTCTTCTTACCTCTGAGGACATCAGTTACCTAATATTCTTTCTTTCTGTTCTGTTTCTTCAAGTTGCTTTTTTCTTTATTTTGATCTTTGACCCTCAGAACTTTTTCTTCAATTTCTGGTCATCCTGGTTGCTGCTCATATTTTAAGTGGCTCTTAAAAATTTTTTTTTTATTTTTAAATCTAATAGGAACTTCTGTTTGCCATCCAGGGTCTTGTTGACTGAGATGTTATTATAGGTGATTAGGATGGGCCATCTAGTTGGCAGAATCTTAATAGTATTATTTTAGGTGTTCATCGTGACCTGTTCCTATGCTCCAGAAAATTCGTTTTGGTTCCTACCAGGTAAGTAGGAACTCTGCCGTCAGCCTCCTAATGGCTGGGGAGAAGGCAGGAGCACACCAGCCTTCACAGTGCATAGGTTAGCAGTCTTCCTGGTTGTGGTACCATATTCCCCATTCTCCATTCTTTCTGAGGTTCTTCATTCCAGAGATATTTGGTTTTACTTTCCCAGAGCATGAATCTCCCATCTGCCAAGATGAAGAGGAGTAGTCTTTTGGTAGCACAGAATGTGGGAGGGGATCTGGGTATCTAACATTATCTTCAGACAATTTTCAAGCAGCTTTCTGTTCTGTGCCTCACCTTCACCTGCATTTCCATAGGAGCCTGGTGCATACAGCCCTTTCCTGAGCCCTTTGGCATTTCCATGATAGAAGTCAGGTTGTTTCTGCCTTTTCCACTGAAGGCTTCAGGTTCAGCTTTCTCAGGTCTTCTGAGTCCGTTCCCCTTGTCCATCAGCCCTCCACCATCCAGAATTTGACTGGTGGTGTTTCTTCTCCTGTGTTTGCCCTTGTGCATCTATACCTTTTTAAAAAATCCATGCACTTTTGTATTGGAGACATTTCGGAAGGTAACAGAGAGGGAAATACAATTATTTAAGCTGTTGTCATTGGCTGGAGGTCCCAAGGTCTCTTTTAGTAGATCCTCAATATTTGATTGAAATCCTTCCCATTTTTCACAATTGAAATTAATAATTTATATTATTTTATATTACTTATAAGTTGCATATTTAAAAATAAAACTTTAAACATATAACACATAGATACAAATCCAACCTGAAACAATTTTTTGTTGAAATGCTGCTCCTCTCTTTGCCTTTAACTCTTTTTATTTATTTTGAGAGAGAGAGGGGCACAAGCATAAGAGGAGCAGAGAGAGGGAGATAGAGAATCCCAAGCAGGCTCCATACTGTCAGTGCAAGGAGCCTGATGTGGGGCTTGACCCCACGAACTGTGAAATGATCTGTGCCAAAATCAAGAATCAGACCGAGCCACCCAGGCACTCCTGCCTTTAACTCTTGGAAGTACAGACCCATTATTTTTCCTCAGTGAAAAATGGAGATGATTTTAGGCAATGGTACATTTGTCTGTGAAATGTATTGAATGTTTTGGAAAAAGGAACATCATGTGTAATAATGCAGTGGAGCCTAAAGTTGAAGAAGTAAACAAGTGCACCCATTGTGATGAGCACCAGGTGTTGTATGGAAGTGTTGAATCACCAAATTGTACACCTGAAACTAATTTAACACTGTATGGTGACTATACTGGAATGAAAACAAAAGAAGGAAACATAAATGAATCACGATTATGGATTCTGTGAGTTATTATGCCTTTTCAAAAACTGAGAGGGTTGTACAAAAGGACAAACCTTTATTTAACTTAGTGGTGATTGTGTACAGTCTGTTGCGTCTTTTAATCTGAAAAGAAAGCAGGACGTATCACTTAGAAATCTCACTTTGTGTTTGTGTTGGTTTTTTAGGTGACCCACAACACAACTGTGAATGGCAAAGATACAGTTCATCACTGGAGTTGGGCCTCAGACATGCCCCTAGAGTGCACCACCCATTCTGTGGCAATTAGATGCTATGTTGACGATCCTCATTTCTCTGGTCGCAAAGAGTGGAGTGACTGGAGCCCACTGAAGAACATTTCTTGTAAGCTTATATGTGAAAAGCTTCCGTTTCAAATGAATTAGATTAATCTTGCTTAAGGTTTAGTTTAAGCTTTAAGTTCTCCGAACGCCACTTAGCGTTATGAGGGTCACCTGAGGATCTTCCAAGTCTCTCTCCCAGAACATTTTGATTCAGAAACTCTGGGGTAGAAGTCAGGAATCTGTATTTTTAGAGACCTTCCTGAGTCATTGGATAAACGTCTAGGTTTGAAAGTCACTGTGGTAGGCGTTGAAGGACATTTAAAAATTTTAGGTAGATGTTATTGACGTCAAGTTTATATTTAAAAAAAAAAAAAAAAAAAAAAAAAAAAAAAAAAGGCTCCTAGTTTCTTGCCCACAGAGCAGATCCATATGAGCTGCAGAGTTATTGCAGAGAACATGGGGATCTGTAAGTGTACTGAACTCATCTGCACCCTGAATGGAACTCATGCAGGTAGAACGTTGGCAGTGGGAGAGAAGGCCTGGAAAATTGTTGTCAATACCTAGGCTGATGTTTATTGTAGATCCACTCTAGCGACAGCATGGAGAAGTGGATCCGAGGAAGGAAGGACTGGAAGCAGGTAGATGAGTAAGGAGGGTCTTTTGCAGTTCAGCAAAAGACAGTGAAGCTGTAAAGTAGGGCACTCGGGTTTGGAAATGAAAAGGGAGAAAAGTTGTGAACACTGAAGACACAGGATTAAAATTGGTGACTGTGTGTTTGGTAACCAAGAAATAGAACCAAATGTGAGCATTAGTTTGGGCAGCTGAGCAGCTGGTGATGTCTTCCACTGAGGCAGAAAATATATGAATGAATTCAGTGGGAAAGATAAATTCATTCTTAATATGTTAAGCTTGAGGTGCTTATGAAGTGTCTGGGTAGCAGTGTCTCATAGGCAGTGATTAGTAGGAGCTGAAGATCTCTATTTGAGAATCATCAACATACATGCGATTCATATTGTTTACGTCTGGAGGTTAACATGCTCAGGGAAAGAGAAATGGGGACCAGGGATACACATCTTACAAGCTTGAATGTCTAAGGGTAGGATGAAAGAAAAAGAGGCCAGCAAAGCAGACAGTAGCCAGAGGGTTAAGAGTAGCCCGGTAAGAGTAGCCCGGTGGGGTAGAGTGATGTAGAACCCAAGAGAGAAGGGGGTTTTGAGAAGTTAGAGCTTAGGCAACACACCCGATGCTGTGGATGTCAAAGGGAAGGGGAGACTGAGAAGTGGCTGTTGGACTGAGCAATTTAGGCCAGCAAGACACCTTAGTGGAATGGTCAAGGTAGGACCCACATTGTGGTAGATTAAAGAGTAAGTAGGAAACTAGAGATAATTAAAAAGATTGGACATTCAGGAAAATAAAAACAAAGGTGTGGCTTTAACCAGCAGGGAATTAGGATTAAAGAAAAAGTTCTGTTTAAGATGTAGAATACTTAAACATATATTCAGGCTGATGGAAAGTAAGAAGTCGGCCCTAAATACATAGAATCATTTCAGAGGAATAGAATTATATAATGAGTGACTTTTTCTTGGTGTGGATTTTTTATGTGTGGATATAAACCCATTTAATTTGAACCTTTACACTTCTTAAGACATTAACCTGTGACCTTAGCTATTGGCCTATAGTCCCCTGCATTCCCCCACCATCACCCATCATAAGTAGATAAGACATACCTACTTTTATTTCTTGTGTAGGTCTTGCTCCTTTGAAACCTGGGGGGTCATACCTTGTCTTTGGGCCACCATTATTACAAAACACTTTATAGTATGTTTTGTATACACTGGGCTATTTTATGATAAAATGCTTCTAAAGTATTTGTGATTCCTTTTGCTCTTTCTAGGGTCTCCTGATTCCCAGACTAAGGTTTTTCCTCAAGACAAAGTGATACTTGTAGGCTCAGATATAACATTTTGTTGTGTGACTCAAGAAAAAGTGTTATCAGCACAGATTGGCCAAACAAATTGTCCCCTTATTCATCTTGATGGGGAAAATGTTGCAATCAAGATCCATAATATTTCAGTTTCTGCAAACAGTGGAACAAATGTGGTTTTCACAACAGAAGATAACATATTTGGGACAGTTATTTTCGCAGGATGTAAGTATATAATACTGAAGAAAGAGTTCCTAGTAGTCTGTTTTGGTCCTCTTTGAAAGCTTTAATGCTGTTTCCAAGTGATGGGGGATGGTGCTATTTCTTTCTCTCTTTTTTTAATTCTTTAATAAATTATAGATGAAGGCATCCAAATTTTTGCTTGTTTTAAGATGAGTTCTAATCTTGTATTTATATAACTTGAAAGTTTTGTAAAAAGATTTGCAATATCCAGCCAGTAATTTTTAAATTCTTAGTTAACAGCTGTGTTGAGTCAAGGGTAATTAGTATATAATACTTCTTAATCCTACATTGTTCAGGAATTATCTCATATAACAGTTGACCCTTGAACAAAAAAATAAGTTCGAACTGCATGGGTCTGCTTATACATGAATTTTTTTCAGTAAATACAGTACAGTACTGTAAATGCATTTTCTCTTACGATTTTCTTAACATGTTAAATAGCTCACTTTATTGTGAGAATATAATACACAGAATATGTGTTATGTTAATCAATTGTCTGTTATTGGTGAGGCTTCCAGTCAACAGTAAACTAGTAGTTAAGTTTTGGGGGAGTCAAAAGCTATATATAGATTTTTTTTAAGTTTATTTTTTTAGTAAAAAAATACACCCAACAATGGGGCTTGAATTCATGACCCCCAAGATCAAGAGTCGCGTGCTCTTCTCATTGAGCCAGCTGGGTGCTCTTGCATGTAGATTTTTGGGAGGTTCCATGAGAACTTCGTGGGAGGTTGGTTCCCCAAACCCTGTGTTTTCAAGGGCCACTCTGTGTCAGTTTCCCACCAAAAACATACCTTTTAAAATTAAAAAGGTAAAGCATCCCACCTAATTAAAACATATCTTTTTAAAATTTAACTTTAAAACATGCCTTTTGGAGCACCTGGGTGGCTCAGTCACTTAGTTGAGCGTCCGACTCTTGATGTCAACTCAGGTCATGATCTCAAGGTTGTGGGATCAAGCTCCACATCAGGCCTCCTGCTCAGCACAGAGCCTGCTTAGGAATCTCTGTCTCTCTCCGTCCCTCTCCCCTTCTTGCTGTCTGTCTGTCTCTCTCTACAGTAAGTAAATTTTAAAAAATTTAAAACATACCTTTTAAAACTTACCCCAATTAAAGAAATTGTAATGATTTTACACAAAAATCTTTCCATAGTGTATTGCAGGCTTCTGTGACTTTTAAAGTAATATATTTGAGAAGGAGGAGTAACTGGAGGACATGCATGAAAGGGCCCCCTCTCCCTGTTTGTGTGTATAACATATGCTCCATTACACAGGGGCATCATTATTAATGTGGTCACTCCTACAGTTCTAAAAGTACAGGATGTTTCCAGAAGTTATTGTGGGAGACTGCCCTATTTATATAGCTTGTGTTGAATGTCCACAGGGACTTTGCGTTTCGAGCTTTTCTGTCCCCTCTCCTGTGGCAACTGTCCCGTGGCGCACTGATGGCTTTGCCTCCAGCAGTTCTTGCTTCCCTTCCTCCCCCCGCAATTCTGAATTCGAGGCGGAGTTTGGGCTAAAGGGTCTCGTGAATAAAGTGTGTGGAACGTAGTGAGTGGGTTTTGTGATTTTCTTTTGCTTGTGTGGTGATTTTTCTTAAACTTTTTTTGATTCTCAGCTGTGCTCTAGACCAGCAGCTCTCCACCTTTCTATTCCTTCTGTTGAAACTTAGGAGGAATTCTGTCGATTCGCTGATACACTCCCAAGGGAATAACCAGGCTTAGGTGCACTTCTCAGTGATGGCTGGAACCGTGTTCCCTTTTTGTCTTCCCAGAAATGCATTTTGCAGTTCAAGTGAAAGTGAGATTATGTTCAAATTTAAACTTTAGAAATTTCTCTCCTAATGGAATTTTAGGAAATGACTTGCAACATTCCTCATAAATGATCATGGAGCATATAAACTGGGAACCAGTGGTGTATGTAGTGAGGCTACCTGATAAGTGATAACCAAAAAATGAGACAGCCACTTAAAAGTACAAAAGACAAAAATTAAAACTCAGAAGATGAGAATATCCATCAAGTTTTTATTATTTCTAACAGTGTTCTAACCTTCTGTCACATAGTAGGACAAACCTATTTAATTCATATATTAACCTTCATTTGTAGCATTTGGTGGTTGAAATACTATTTGTTAACTCTGGAGCAGCGGTAGCATTTCCCTTCAGAGGGATTTCTTTAGGGACTTAACAGCAAGTGCAGTTTATGGTGTGAGTTAGGGATCAAGAGTCATTATTTTCTTTCCCTCATGGATATCGTGTTAACCGGCCACGTGTTCAAAAGACACATTAAAAACCTACCAGGATTTTGGTTTGAGTTACATTAGATCTATTAATTGAGGAGACCAGTTTAGGAGAATTTTCATTCTTTCTATACTGAGTTATCCAAGCCAGGAACATGGTCTATCTTTCCATTTAGTTAGGTCTTCTTTGATTTATATTGGTGATAGAAAGTCTTATGTATCTTCTAATAAATTTATTCCTATGAATTTGGTGTTTGGTGCTAGTAGTAACAGTGGCTTTTTTTCCTCTTAAGTTTATTATTGTAATTGCAAATAAATTTATTATCCAGCAGACAGAAGAATACTTATTTACCAATACTTGTCAGTGTTTGTTCATGAGCTAATTTAGTTCTAAGCAAAATAGATCTTATTTTATAAATACTATTTCTTCAGTAATCATTCAGAGTTATTTTCTTTTTTTCTTTTTTAATGTTTATTTATATTTGAGAGAGAAAGAGAGCACGAGCAGGGGAGGGACAAAGAGACAGAGACAGAATCTGAGACGGGCTCCAGGCTCCAAGCTGTGAGCTGTCAGCACAGAGCCTGACATGGGGCTCGAACCCAGGAGCATTGAGATCATGACCTGATCCAAAGTCTGATGCTTAACTGACTGAGCCATCCAGGCGCCCCTGGAGTTATTTTCATAGATAGTGCCACTTCAGCATTAAACATTGACCTAAATACTAATCTTTCATCATACTTAAAGCATTTTAACAGAATACACTGTGACATAGAATTAGAGTGTTTAAATATTTATGTCAATGTCAGATTTCATACTTGCTCATTTGAAATCATTTTCATAAAAAATGGCTTTGTTTTTTAAATTACATTTGCTATTTGCTGGTAATACAGTTGATTTATACCTAGTTTTTACCTAGCGTCAGGTGATTCCTTTATAAGTTAATTTATTTGGGAAGACAGTACCTTACCTTTCAGATCCTGCCCGCTCATATTTTTTCTGCCTCCCATCTTCCCTTCTCCTTCTTTCTCTTTGCTCCTGTTATTTGGATTTTAACTATTTCAACTTAACATATCTGCCAAATACTAAAATAATCAACATTTTTAGTGTACTCAAAAATTTGGTATGTCATTCTAATAAAATGACTTAAAGTTTGGCCTTAGATTTAAAACAGTTTTAAAACAAATATGTCAGTTTTAGTCTCACTATGCCATTGTTAGACTTCAATATAAATACTCATGACTCCTCTTAATGTTACCTAAATATCATTTATGGACATTATTCTATCTCAGGAAGGTATGGGAAATTTGCTAAGTCCTTTTCAGTTACTCACACAGTCTAAGAACGGTTTTTAAAGTTTAGTTTTTAAAAAATAAAATTATTGGGACACCTGGGCGGCTCAGTTGGTTAAGTATGCAACTCTTGGTTTTGGCTCAGGTAATAATCTCACCATTTGTGGGTTCGAGCCCCACGTCGGGCTCTGTGCTGACAGCTCAGAGCTTGGAGCCTGCTTCAGATTTTGTGTCTCCCTCTCGCTCTCTGCCCCTCCCCCACTTGTGCACTTGTTCTCTCTCAAAAATAAACATTAAAAAATATTTTACAGATTTTTTCAATAAGTAATTGTTTTTAAAAAATTTAGTGAAAGATAGTTTGGATAAATATGAGAGCACTAGTTTCTATGTATGCTTGGTTAAGCATGATTACAGAAATACCAATTTCAGGGGCACTTGGGTGGCTCGGTTGGGCAACTGACTTCGGCTCAGGTCATGATCTCACAGTTTGTGAGTTTGAGCCCCGCATTGGGCTCTGTGCTGACAGCTCAGGGCCTGGAGCCTGCTTTGGATTCTGTGTCTCCCTCTCTGTGCCCCTCCCCTGCTCATGCTCATGCTCTGTCTCTGTCTCTCAATAATAAATAAACGTTAAAAAAAATTAAAAAAAAAAAAGAAATACCAATTTCTTTTTTCTTTTCTTTCTTTCTTTCTTTCTTTCTTTCTTTCTTTCTTTCTTTCTTTCTTCTTCTTCTTCTTCTTCTTCTTCTTCTTCTTATTATTATTATTATTATTATTCTTTTTGAGAGAGAGAGAAAAAGAGGAGCAGAGGGTGAGAGAGAGAATCTAAATAGACGCAGGGATTGATCCCATGACCCTAGGATCGTGACCTGAGCTGAAATCAAGAGTTGGACGCTCAACCAACTGAGCCACCCAGGTGACCCTGGAAATAACCAATTTGTGTAATTAGTGTCCAACGCAGAATTTTCCATTATTACTTTAAAGGTCTAAGACACACACACACACATTCTTTTTTTTTTCTAGTTTTGTCCCTGCAAAATGAGAGGGAATCATTTCAATAAAGAACAAAAACCAAAGAGCAGTAGTCACTTCTGAATTATAGGAAGATGCAGCATTTCACCAAGAGATACTTTATAAGTAATAGTCCTTGCAACTTCTTTAAGAACTTTGAAACTTGTAACATGACCCGTGTTGACTTTTAATTCGAATTGGAATTTCTTTTCAGATCACAGTTATAAATGATAGATATTGATACTTTTAACCTGTAAATTTTTCTGACTTGTTGGATCCAGGTTCCTCTGAGAGATTTGGTAGATTTTGAGGTGGGTGGGGGGGTCGTTGTTGGGGAGCTTCCAAATGAGCTAGTAGTCATTCATCAGCATATTTTAATCCATCATTTCTAATGTAAAAACTCCAAAACATGCTACAGAAATTCCTGCATTGTTCCAAAGGTAAAGTGTAAACACGAAGTTATTTTCATTTTTAAAAGAAATTGTACAAAACATAATTAACATTTGTGAAACATGTTTTCAGGGAAATTGTATATCACCTGTAACTACATTTTTCTTCCCATTAGATCCACCTGATATTCCTCAAAAACTGAATTGTGAGACATACGATTTAAAAGAGATTATATGTACTTGGAATCCCGGAAGACCAACAGCACTGGTGGGCCCACGCAATACAAGTTACACTTTATTTGAAAGGTAAAGATCACTAGTGAGGGAAAAATGTCAGACAGTGAGGAGTACATTGGAGGGGTGTTAAATGACATAGGGAATGCTCTCATTTATGTTATGAGCAAGATGGAAAATCCAGTATGCTGTATGAAATTGGATATGCATATTACATGCACACAGACTATATTTGCATGCTCTTTTAAAAATCCTGGAAGAACCCTCAAATACGAACAGAGGCTGTTTCTGGGTAGTAGGCTTCTGGCCGATTATTTTCATCTATTTTCTGTATCCTCTACGTTTTCTTCCCAGAGTCTGTGGTAACATCTATAATTAGAGATATAAACTTTTTAAAAAGATTAGTTATTAGAAATTTTACCCACTTATTTTTTCCTGCCGTATTTATCTCTCTTGCCATTTTGAAATTATTTTAATCTTGTTGCTCTCTTAATTCATAGTTTCTCAGGAAAATATGTTAAATTTAAAAGAGTTGAAGCACCAACAAATGAAAGCTACCAGTTACTCTTTCAAATGCGTCCAAATCAAGAAATATATAATTTTACTTTGAATGCTCGCAATCCTCTGGGTCGGTCAGAATCAACTATTTTAGTTAACATAACTGAGAAAGGTAAGCTGCTTCATAAACCAGTGTCTTAAAAATAATTGTAGAAGTGCTGAAGTGTCTTGAGATTAATGAGGAGTGCTTCCAGGGACTACTTTTTACTATTTTCTTTCTAGTTTTATAAATTTTTATAAATTAGTTTTATAAATTTTATTTGAGAATCCTTAAAATGTATAATTACGTTTCACCATTTTATTGAATTCAGATAAAAATTTGAATTAGTCGTTTTCACAGAAACTTTAAGTGGTCTTATCTAATAGGTTTTGATTCCTGAAAAATGTTTTGCCCCAGTTTTAAAAGCTTTTTATTTTAATTATAGACTCACAGGTGGTTGCAAAGATATAAATTACAGCCCCGTGACCTCTTCACCTAGCTTTCGCCATTTTTGACGTCTTAGTAACTATATAGTATCATTTCCAAATGAGGCAGTTGACACTGGCACACTACTGTAAACCAGGCCAGTGAGCTGGCCCGCTGACTTTGCCCAGTTTTCACAAGTTTCTACGTGCACTTAGAGAGGTGTGTGTGTGTGTGTGTGTGCGCGCGCGCACGTGCGCGCACTTCTGTGCAGTTGGATCTACGTATAGGTTCACAGAACCACCAACACAATCAATATAGAACTGTTCTATCTCCACAAAGGAACTTCTTGTTGCCCCGTTGGCAAATCCCCTCCCCCACCCCCACCCCCACCCTTCCACCACCACCCCTCCACACATGCTCTTGCATCCCGCTCCTTAGGCAATATCCAATCTGTTATTCCTCTCAGTGCTTTGTTATGTTGAAAATGTTATATAAATGGAATCATACAGTGTATAACCTTTGGAGATTGGCATTTTTTACTAAGGGCAGTATCCTTGAGATCCATCCAAGTTGCTGTATGTATCAGTAAGTAGCTTGTTCCTTTTTATTGCTGATGATTCCGGAATTTTTAGCAGCCCTGTTAATACATAGCTCCAAATAGAACTTAAATATGGTCCATCTTCTTAGGATTCATTCCTGTGGGCATTCTGCTGCATCGGGTCCATACCAGCCTCTGCAGCACAGAACAGTGACATAGAGGCCTTCTCTTAGAGACTCGGTCACTGAGAAAGGCTTAAACCAAATGCCATTAAAAAACAGACTGGCAAGTGATTAGTAGATGACCCTGTTGCCTTGTTTGTAAACCTAAGTATACTTCATCAGCTATTCCTTCTCATCATTTTTGTTATTTCCCGGGTTTTCGTAAGGTCCAAACAGCTACGTTTTATACTTGAGTGGTGGTGTTTGTGTGTATTTCCCTGCCTTCTGCCTTTCAACTTTATTTTCCCATGTTGCTTTCCTCCCACTCACGTGGCACGCGCACTGTCATCAGCATCACTGCGCCTTTGTTCTTGCTCAGAGCCCAACCTGAAATGCTTTTCTGCATCCGTTCTGCCATTTTGCTCAGATTCTCCCTTCAAAGCTCCTCTTAAGACCCATCTTCACTCTAAGACTTTCCCTACCACACTGACGTCTAAACTCCAATAGCTGTTAATATCTCTGCCACACATTTCAAACTCAGCATATGTACTCTTGTTACTTTTCTTTTTGTCAGTCCCCCAGCAAGTTAGAGGTTCCTTAAAGGTAGAGATTATGCTCCTACGACCTTGTAGTATTCCTGATGGCAGTATAGGAACCTTGAGTGTGGTTGGTCCATGAAAACTGTGGGCATGATATCAGCAGTAAAAGTGAGCTTTTGTGTTCCATGGATACTGAGTGGAATATTGTTGATCAATACTAATGATACCTCTTTTGTTTTTTGGGGTTTTTTGATTGTCATTTGTCATGTTAGAAAAGAGCTTTTAAAATGATCTCTACAAATTGTATTTACAGTTTATCCTCGTATTCCTACTTCAATCAAAGTGAAGGATATTAATTCAACAGCTGTTATACTTTCCTGGCATTTACCGGGCAACTTTGCAAAGATTAAACTTTTATGTCAAATTGAAATTAATAAAACTAACGCAGTACAAGAATTGGTGAGTAAGATTCTTCTGTAGACTTGCTTTGAGGTTGCTTTAGATAAAATACTTCGTTTTCAAAAAGAATTGAGTAAATTGAGGGGCGCCTGGGTGGCTCTGTCAGTTGGTGTCCACTTTTGATCTCAGGTCAGGTCATGATCTCATGGTTCATGGGATCAGGCTCTGCATTGGGCTGTGCACTGACAGCATGGTGCCTGCTTGAGATTCTCTCTTCCCCCCGCCCCTCTGCCCCTCTCTTTCTCTCTTTATCTTTGAGAGAGTCTCAAAATAAATAAATAAACTTAAAGAATTGTGTAAATTGATACGCATAGGCTCTCAGGTTATTTATTATAGAGATTTACTAAGAACTAAGGCACTATACATCAATGTAATAACGGCATTTTATTTAGCACTTGAACGCAGTTATAATGCTGGATATTATTAGAACATGAGTTGCACTTTTATTAGGTTGTTTCCAGCTCTCGTACAGCATCTTGCACATAGCTAGTGCCCAGTAAATTTGTGAATGAATGAGTAGTTTTTTGCCATAGCCGCCAGCATGAATTAATGGACTAATAATAAGCACCAGAGAGAAGGTTTCAGACTGCCAAGTGCAGCAGTAGGAACAAGTGAGTAAGTGAGAGCATGACTTTTTAATACCGTTTAGATACTTAAGGTTGACTTTTATACTGTACCGTCTTGTAATTTGTGCTAAGTCCCAAATAAAAGAGACTGTAATGAAAATATTCATTGGAAGCTTATTGATGGTTGCTACAAAACTCAGATGCCAAAATATAACCCCAAAAGCTTTGTAATTGGGAGTTCAGAGGATTTCCTGAGGCATGCACATCCCCAAATTTGTTTAAACTGTTTCATTTTTTATGTAATTTAAATAAGAATTTGTTGAATATTCCGCATGTTTAACACCAAACTAGAGGTTCTAAGTGCTGTATTAAAAAATGCACAAGGGGCGCCTGGGTGGCTCAGTCGGTTGAGCGGCCGACTTCGGCTCAGGTCACGGTCTCACACTCCGTGAGTTCAAGCCCCGCGTTGGGCTCTGTGCTGACCGCTCAGAGCCTGGAGCCTGTTTCAGATTCTGTGTCTCCCTCTCTCTGACCCTCCCCCATTCATGCTCTGTCTGTCTCAAAAATAAATAAACGTTAAAAAAAGATTAAAAAAAAAAAAATGCACAAGACAATGCCTGCCTCGAAGCTTCCAGATATACCTGACTAATGTACTTAAATCCTCAAGGTCATCTTAGATTAGTAAATCTGAGGCTTACCATATATTAAGGCTTATTGTATTACCATTAGCCATTGACCGATGATCAAAATTTATTATCATCTTCTCTGCATAATTTAATTGATCATTATTACTTAGATCCAGTATTTGGATTAAAATCACACCGAAGTTGTTTGGTTGTTGTTGCAGAGCATAATTTTACCGATTTGGTAGTTACGTAAAAATTAAAATGTTTTGGTGGCTGAACTAACTTTAGTGCTCTAAAGGCAAACTCAGGTGGACATTTAGTCAATTTATGTGACAAATTTGGGCAGCTTTCTTATCAAAAAAAAGTATGTGTGTATAAATGTGTGTTTTTAAACACATGACATTACTTATGCATACATTTGCATATTTATTTGCTCTCTAATAGCGGAATGTCACGGTCAGAGGAGTAGAAAATTCAAGTTATCTTGTAGCTGTGGACCAGTTAAACCCATATACTGTATATACTTTCCGGATTCGCTGTTCTGCTGAAACTTTCTGGAAATGGAGCAAATGGAGCAATGAAAAAAAATATTTAACCACAGAAGCCAGTAAGTTAACTAAATGATTTATGGCTAAATATCACTAGGGATCCTGAAATTTTACAACTTTTTTTTTTTTTTTAATGTCACCAAATGAGTAAAAGGAGAACACTTGAATTGTGTAATTATATAGTATCTGCTCGTAAAATGTCATCCAGACATTTTAAATGGTGGCTCTAAGGTTTGGGATAGTGTGGACAGTTACTTGGCCCGTGTTGTGTGGGAAACTCTAGGTCTGTCTGCCGGATGATTGCAGCTGTCCTAAAATGATGCAGAGGAAACAAACTGGAAACTGTGCTAAGATTACGGGGTGATTTTGCTCACAGTCTTTTCCTCCTTTTCCTAGAATTTTAATTCTGTTTTAATTCTGTTCAGTTCTGTTTGCTGAAGACAATTCTTGATAAAGAGAATTTGTTGGAATTTTTGTTTGCGACCTAGGCCTGAGAAATGGATGGGGCCACGGGTCTTGAACACTCTTTCTGCAGTACACCAAATAGGTCAGAATAGGTGCAAAATTAGTTGACTGGTTTTCTGAGTATGATAATTTCCAACGACAGAATGAGATTCTATCCTTGATTAATCACATGTCAGCTTTGAAAATCAAAAACAAAAAACGTAAAAATAGGTATAATTTTCAGGAGTCATTCAGTAAAAGATAGCAAAAGCTTTATTTAAACTAGATAACTTGCGGGGGGGGGGGGCGTGTAAAACTTCTTCCAAAAAATTAATGAACAGTAAAACACAAACTGATAGGTATTGATCCAGACTTTGCCTCTCCACAGGAAGGAAGTTTAGAAAGATGAGAGGGGCTTTGCAATATTGTGTCCAGGTGGTTTGGATCATCAAAATGGAATCCCATGCATGAATCCAGAGACGGAGAGTGTTAGTTATTCATTGCTGCCTGACAAATTACCCTAAAATTCAGGGGCTTAAAACAGTAAACATTTATTCTCTCACGATGAGTTTAGGTCAGAAACTCAGAAGCAGCTTAGTTGAGTATCTCTGGCTTCGAGTGTCTTATGAGGCCACAGTGTGGATGTGGGTGGGGGCTGCAGGCTTGCCTAGGACTAGAGAATCTGCTTGAAAGATGGCTCGCTCAGTGGCTGGTCCTCACCACACAGACCTCTCCGTAGTGCTGCCGAGTGGCCTCATAACATGGCAGCTAGCTTCCCCCAGACTTAGTGAGGAGAGAGAGACCATGGTGCCTCCACGATGCCTTTTATGACCTCGCCTCAGAAGGGAGGAGCCATCGTGTCTGTTGCACTCTGTGTCACACAGGCTGATGCTGATACAGTGCAGGAGTGGACCACACAGGCAGGCATATCAGGAGGCATGACCAATGTCATTGGTCATTTGTAGACTGGCTACCACAGGAGCCTTTGCCTTCGGTTGACAAGCTGCTGTTGCCAAGAGGAAACACTTGATTCACACCTCATTAAGATGACAGCATTAATTCACTTAACAAATACTTGAGTACCCGCCATGTGTCAGGGACTGTTCTAGTCACCAGGGATATAGCAGTGGATGAAACAGTCTCTGCCCATGGAGTTTATAGGCTAGAGGATTAGAAGTAAAATTTTAAACATAGTATGTTGGGAGAAAAATACAGCCGAGAAAGGGGACTAGGGAAAGAAAGTCCGAGAAAGGGGACTAGGGAAGAGGGGTTGCAGTTTTAAATAGCGTAGCTGGAAAAGACCTCACTATTAAGGTAACATTGGAGCTGAGATCTAGAGCAGGTGAGGTAGCAAGCTACACGGGGAACCAGGGCAGGAGAGCTTCTGCGCACAGGAAGAGAGGTCACAGAGAGCTCAGGAAGCCTGAGGCAGGTGTCCTCAACACGTTGGAGGAGCGGGGCACCAGGAAGCCCGTGCTCGGCCAGAGCCTACCTGAGCAGCAGGAGGTGGGAAGATGTGAGCCAGAGCAGCAAGAGCCTCAGGTAGGGCCTGAAGAGTGATTTTAATCCACTCGAAGGGGCCTTATGTCTTGCAGACGTTGAGAGCTTGGCTGTTTCATCCCTTCACTTCTAAGTGGAAGCCACTGAACTACTTCACATTTTTATGGAGAATTCCAAAAACCTAGAAAAGAATCTCAAGCGCCACTGTCTCAATTATCGGTAGTCTCGACTGACATGCCGTACATGTCTTCGAATGCTAACTTTTAAATCTCTTTCCTAGTTCCTTCAAAGGGACCAGATACTTGGAGAGAGTGGAGTTCTGATGGAAAAAACTTAATAATCTATTGGAAGGTAAATGTCCAATTTTTTTTCCTTAGATATTTAAATGATTATATTATGCTAAACTTGCGTGTGGTACTTGGGTTCTCCAGGAGACTGGATTTCCCAGACTGGCTCTTTGCAGCACTGCTGAGAATCTAACCTGGTACTAAAACCCCCCAGACCCCTCATCACTACTGAATCACCACGGCCAGTGTGGTGAGGGTCTTCTCTGTCGGATCAGAGCGTTCTTTACTTTGATTTCATGAGGACTGGAAAGGACCTGAGGATTTCGTGAATTCCATCCACGTCTGTCACTTCAGCCAGAAACACCTCAAGAAGCCACAAGTTAGAATCTCAGTTGTGTTGGTGTTACATTTTTTATCTTGAACACATAGGAAACTTTTTACATATTTCGTGTGTACTTTGTTTCCCTTAAGTAAATTGCATTATTATATGCCACTTAAAATTTTTGCATTTGGGTGGAAAATTAAGTTGTAGAGTTTTGTAAAAATTTTAGATACAGTGTAAATTGCATTCTGTTTCCACAGTTTTTCTCTACTAGAGCAACCGTTTTTGTTGCTATACTCTTTATCTGATTTGCAGACATCAAAAACCATTGTTTTCCACATCAGATATTATAAGAACAGTCATAATTGGATTTCTTTAACTAGGGAATTCTGTTGTTGAAAGTAAAACTATTTTTGCAAAAATTTGATGTCAGTACAACTTTGAGTGAAGTAAGTCTTTGTGCAAGTTCACTCTAAGTTCTGTTGCTTTGTGGTGGGCTGTATATGACCCCTCTTACTCATTTTTTTAAATGTTTATTTATTTTTGAGAGAGAGAAGGGGAAGGGAGAGAGAGGATCCCAAACAGGCTCCCCACTGTCAGTGCAGAGCCAGACACAGGGCTTGATCTCATGAACTGTGAGATCATGAGCTGAGCCAAAATCAAGAGTTGTACGCTTACCCGACTGAGCCACCCAGGTGCCCCCCCTCCCTTACTCTTGATCAGAAAATCCACTGGCTACCCAACAACTGTCTGTCACATTTCATGATAATATAGTAACGATGATACAGTCACTTCAGTATATCACTTCTCAGCCTTTTGGCTAAGATCAAGTGTAGTATCTGTTCTTAACAGTTTAGTATCTGATATGTCCTCTATCTGAGAACAATAGAACACATGGATTTTTGGAACCATAAGACAGAATAGGAGCTTGCTCTGTCCATTTCACACATCAGCCTGGTACTGCAGAACCATTACTTCAGGTATAGAGAAAATCTGTAATGTTGTTCAAACTAGACGAATGCTTAACCGAAGCTTAAAAATACTGAAGTGATTGTAACTTTGGTGACTAGGTTGATGGTTCTGCCATTTGTCAAGGACGAGCATATTTGGGTGGAAAATTAAGTTGTTTGGGGTTGAATTTTTTAAATCTGTTTTTAAAAATCTGTGCCAGTGGGATATCCAAGCAGAGTCTAATAGGTGGTGGTTTGATGTAAGGCTCTGGAGTTCGGGGCAGAAGTCGGAGCTAAGGCACAGCTTTGAGTAGCATGTAACTGGGATCACTCAGGGAGAGCATGCAGGGTGCAGAGAGGCCGAGGACGGACCCCTACGTGAAAACAGCACAAAAGGACCAGCAAAGGAAGAGGATCCAGCAGAGGAGAGTGGGAAGGGTAGATGGGCAGGAAGAAGATGGAAATAACATAGCAGAAGCCGAGGGAGGGGGTTCTGCGAAAGAGTGAGCAGTCAGCATCATCTGATGAAGCCCACAAATCTTGGGATGATAATGGGTACGGTAGAACAGGTCATCGGAGAGTCACTGGGGACCTGTTGTGGAGCAGTGTTTTCAGCAGAGTTGTTTCTGTTTTTAATGAGAGAGAGAGAGAGAGAGAGAGAGAGAGAGACATAGTCTAAGTGGGGGGGAGGGCACAGAGAGAGGAGAGCGAGAATCCTAGGCAGGTTCCGTGCTGTCAGCACAGAGCTTGACGTTGGGCTTGAACTCACGAAAGCGTGAGATCATGACCTGAGCCAAGATCAAGGGTTGGACGCTTAACTGACTGAGCCACCCAGGCGCCCCTTCAGCAGAACATTGATACCAAGGTCTGTCTGGATTAGAGGCTTCCATGCGTCATCATATAAATTGGAGCAGTGGTTTTGAAAAGCAGTTTAGCTCCATAAATAAAGAAGTTTGAATGTTTCCTCATGCCCAGTAAGTCTACTTTAGAAATCCATACTAAAGAATTAATCCTAACTATGAAAATGAAAAGTGGCACTGAAAGGTGCACCAACTATTATCTTAGTATTGTGAAAAATTGCAAACTACTTAAATTTCATTTATTTAAGGAATATTCAGATCAACTAGTAAAAATACTACATAAAATATAAAGCCATTAAAGTGTGTATATTATAGACAAGTATATTATAGAAAGGCAAAAAAAGATAAATTGTATAGAATGATTAAAACAATGTTAAAAAATCTACATCTTAGAAAAACAACTTGAAGAAAGTATCAAAATGCAAAAGTATTTAAGAGATAGACATGGGAACATTTTATAGTTTTTTTTTTTTAACTTTTGTATAAATTCCAAATTTTCTGGTGATGAGCATGTACTGGTTTGATAAAACAGTAAATATTTTCTAAAAACTGTGATGCCACAGGGGCGCCTGTGTGGCTCAGTCGGTTAAGCGTCCCACTTCAGTTCAGGTCATGATCTCACGGTTTGTGAGTTTGAGCCCTGCGTCGGGCTCTGTGCTGACAGCTTGGAGCCTGGAGCCTGCTTCAGATTCTGTGTCTCCCTCTCTCTCTGACCCTCCCCAGCTTTCACTCTCTCTCTCTCAAAAATAAACATTAAAATTTTTTTTTTTTACATAAAACTATGATGTAGTAATTTTTTTAAGTTTTGTTTATTTATCTCTACACGCACAACCCTGAGGTCAGGAGTCACATGCTCCACTGACTGAGCCAGCCAGGGGTCCCTCATGCCATAATTTGTTACGTTTTGCTGGGTAGAGCAGTCATTCTTACTACTTTTTTTGTTTGCGTCTGAAAAATGAGGCTAAGTGCTGTTTTGTATTTACTTAATTTTTAAATTTCTGTGTGTTCTTACTGCTTACGGTAAGTATAGTTTTTTCTTCAGTATCACTTTCCTGATTTATCCTGGTCTCGTGCCTTTTAAATCTGTGTTTTATACTGTTAACAGCTTCATCTATTCCACTGTTACCTTGTTGTGATTAATGCAGTACCTGGTTTAGACTTGACGGATGGGCCTGCCTCATCACATAGCCATTTTTTGCAGGTATCTTGACAGAATTTATTTTTCTGTTTTTCATAGCCTTTGCCCATTAACGAAGCTAATGGGAAAATCCTTTCCTATAATGTGTCATGTTCACTAGATGAGGAGACACAGTCCCTTTCTGAGATCCCTGATCCTCAACATAAGGCAGAACTACAACTTGATAAAAACGACTACATCATCAGCGTGGTGGCAAAAAATTCTGTTGGTTCATCGCCACCTTCTAAAATAGCTAGTATGGAAATTCCAAACGGTGAGTACTTAAGATGACATAGTACATAAGAACAGGGAATTAGAGTGGAGCATCTTAAAGGTGGTTTGCTCTCATAATGTCAGCTTTCTTCTCCTATCCCCTCTTGCTGCCGATGCAAAAGGAGGAACGAGCAGATTAATGTCCCGAATTCATTGAGAGACAGCAGTCATCAGTCATTAGTGTTGACTCCAGACATCTACTGATGGATAAAATAATTACCCAGTTACTTTAGTGCATAATGTTGGAGAGTTATGGTGGTAGATTACTTTTCATAGGAAACGTTTCAACTACTTACTCAAGTACCGTTTTCATTTCTCTCTCCAAGACCATGAGAGCTGATGCTGTATTAGCTAGGCTATTTTGCACACTGCCAGGACAAAATTTTTATTTTAAGTGGCCACTTTGTTGGTAATGTCTTACCAACAAACGTCTTTATTATAATATTATAATATATATTATCAATATAAGCTTGAAAAAGTAACTGGGGCAGTTTTGAAATTAACTTAATGCCTTTTTTTTTTAAGTTTATTTATTTATTTATTTATTTATTTATTTATTTATTTTTTAACGTTTATTTATTTTTGAGACAGGGAGGGACAGAGCATCAACGGGGGAGGGTCAGAGAGAGAGAGAGAGACACAGAATCTGAAACAGGCTCCAGGCTCTGAGCTGTGAGCACAGAGCCCGACGCGGGGCTCGAACTCACGGACCGTGAGATCATGACCTGAGCCGAAGTCGGACGCTTAACCAACTGAGCCACCCAGGCGCCCCTAAAGTTTATTTTTTGAGAGCAAGAAAGAGAGGGCAGAGGGCAGAGAGAGGGGAAGAGGGAGAGTCCCAAGTGGGCTCCACATTGTTAGTGCAGAGTCTGACATGGGGCTCGATCTTGCAAACCATGAGGTTGTGACCTGAGCCAAAATCAAGAGGATGCTTAATGGACTGAGCCACCCAGACTCCCCTGCCTTTCTTTAAATACTATGGATTCCCAATGATGTGTCCGTTCTTTCTTGGCCGCCTTGATAGCTCTAGACTTGGGAATTTTAAATAGCCACTTCTGCCTCTTTTCCCGGTTGATTCCTCTCTGAGGTCATTCCCTGCTCCCCCACTTTGCTGTCCTGCCTCAATATGGGGTCTCCTATCTGTGCCCACCCACTCCTAAAGGAAGAAAAGTTGGTCCGGTTGGGGTCCTCTGAGTATCTTTTCAACTCTTGATTGAGGCAGTTTCTTACTGCCTGTAACTTAGCTGGTTCTTTGCTTTGTTTCAGTCAACAATTCAGGGGAATTAGGAAGGACTAGGGGAGGCGCCATACATTTCAGAGACACGCAACACAGAGCCCAGGAAGCAGCACACGCCAGAAAGAGAGGTCTCCAGGTAGCAGTGTGAGCACAAAAAGGAAAGGAAAGAGAGACACACAGAAGAGAACACCAACACTTCTGATTTAGAGTCTGTATTTCATTGCTTTATAATGATAAGCAATAGCTGTGTTGTCTTTTAATTTAAGAACTGTATTCCTGCCTTTTCCCTGTGTCCTTCGGAAGGTGGCAGTTTATGGAACTAACAGTGGTCTAGCATCAGCACCTAGAGAGTTAAGAAGAAATCAGTGTGCCTTGAGGATTTCCCAAGATGGCGGCCTTGGGCCTCAGAGCAAGTTTACACTGTGGGGTTTTAATCACATTGGGCCCAAACATGTTAAATCCAAAGTCTTCTGAATTCTAAACCAAATTGCTATCTTTTGTTAGGTAGTAATTGCCTTATGAGCACAATTTTTTTTTTTTTCCCAGAAAGCCTTTCTTTGACTTTTTTACTAAACCCTTGAATATAAATCAGTTACAGAAATTATGTCTTTTCTCCCATTACTGTGGGAAATTTCGGCCTAACCTACCCAATCCTCACCCCCAACCTTGGGCCTTCCTTATCCCTGGGCCGGGATCTGGCAGGATGGGGAAACAGAACCTCAGCACGGCCCCCTTCCCACCAACCTCTGCATCTCACCCCTCCCTTTGCCCACACTGGCTGTTCCGTCCCACAGCTCTTGATCCCACTGCGTTTTAGCAGATTCCCCATTCTTCACACCTTCTCCAGAAACCCCTGCAGCCCCCCGCCGCCCTGACTCCCACCATGGGCCTGAAAGGAAGAGCAGGTCTGCTCCACTCATTCACCGCGTGTCACTGTGCTCCTGCTCCGTGTGCCCCGGGCTGGGGTTGCAGGCACACGCCTCCGCCTGCTGGCATGGGGCTCGTGTCCGTAGTGGACGAGGAGAGGAGAGGTTAGGACCGTCCACTCGTGCTCTGCACCTGCCTCCGGCATGCCTGCCCCCTGCCTTGCTGCACCTGTCTAGTGCCCTCACGCCCTCAGCCCCATCCCTCCTGACGCTGACCTTCACATCCCAGCCCTGCTGTGTCACCGTCTATCCTGGGTGCTCTTTATTACTTTCTCCAGCTTCTGAGTTTATCTGTGTATACCGGTAATTACTGTTCCACAACAGAAATAACAGAGCGACATTTCTAAACTTTGCTAGAGATTTATCTAGTTTGAGCACTAGTTTCAAATTTCTCTACAGTGAAGTAATTTTTCTAACTCCTGCCCGTTTTCATGAGATTTACCGTATGTTATTGTTTTTAATACAACTAAAACCCTACTTCTTTCTTGTTGAAGATGATCTCAAAGTAGAGCAGGCTGTCGGGATGGGAAATGGAATTCTCCTCACGTGGAATTACGATCCCAGCATGACTTGTGACTATGTTATTAAGTGGTGTAACTCCTCTCGGGCCGAGCCCTGCCTCATGGACTGGAAAAAAGTCCCTTCCAACAGCACTGAAGCTGTAATAGAATCTGGTAAGATGAACTCATGCCTCTTAATGAAAGTTCTTAAAATATATTTTTAAACGGCAGTATATGGTGTGACTGGGTATAATGAGTGACCACCCGCCCCCCCCACCACCACCACTGTGAATTGGTGTGACTTTTCTGGAAAGTGCTTTGTAGCCATATGTGTGTGAAATGGTTCATATCTTTTGATCTAGTAATTACTTGTCTGAGAATTTATTCCAAGAAATAATCAGAGTGACATCGGATACCATGTAAGAATGTTCACCACAGTGGTATTTATAAACATAAAAATTGAAAACCCAAACAGCAAATAGGAGAATGAGTAAATTACGGTACATCTAGAAAGTGGAATGTTAACGCCAAAGATTGTGTCAAATATGTAACACCAAGGACAAGTGCTCCTGAAGAAAAAAGACTGGAACCCTAAGTAGTATGGTCTCACTCATCGTGTGCTCAGGGTGCAGGTTGAGGGGTTAGGCAGAGCCGAGAACAAAGGACTCGCAGCCATCACTGCTGGTGTAGGGCATGGGGGCACCCGTGTGGCAAGGGGCATGGTGCGTGCATGTTTTGGGGGGCCGTTCCCAGTGTCTGACTGTTGATGACCCGTGAGTCCTACCAGGTGAGCTGCTTTAGATACGAGCAGTCTCAAGTTCAGCCATGAGGAGTGTGTGGTAACCTGCAGGCTAAGCCAGCCCTATCCTTGGTAATTACAGCCCCCTTTCCACTATCATTGTTCCTTCTGAGTGGCTGATGAGTGTTTTGTGCCTTTGCCCTCGGGAATTGTGGAACATGTAGCTCAGTGGTGGTGGTGCTTCTCGAGGTCATTCCGTTGCCGTGGTTCTCCCTCACATGGGCACAAGGCTCAGGAGAGCAAGCAGCTGCTGATTCTTATCTCCCAGAGAACCAGGGCTACCTGCCTGCCCTTTTCACTGTCAAATGGTGAAGATGAGTCCCGCCCACGAGATTACTCCAAGTCGGTTGAGATTATTTGCCACTTCTTAAAATATGCAGTGGTTCCCTTCATCCTTTCTTAGAGCATACCTCCCTCATCAGAATGCCCAGCTCATACCAGCTCCTCTCCTGGGCCCCCTCCTCCCCCCACGGAGCTGCCTGAGTCTCCCACAGTCCTGCACACCCCACCGGAGCTCTCGTCCGTTTTCCAGCCTTCTCGCTTGGGCTTTGAGAATGACTGGGTGGACTAGGGCAGGCTCGGTGGTGTGGAAAGGGGTCTCCTTGGATAGCGTGTGACCTGTAGGGTGAGAGGGCCAGCCTCCCGTGCCAAGGCAGGTGAGCAAAGGCCCTGCGGCGTGGTTGAGAGAACAAAGGCTCCGAGAAGTAGGTGGCTTGGCCCAACGTCACAAAACTGGTGTGGGAGAGCACCAGGATTCACATTCAGAGCTGTTCTGAACCTCAGGAGGCCAGGAGTTGTCTCCATTATATATGGTTGCTGGGAGGCACTTCTCTTGTCCCCTCTATGTACTCACTCCACTATCCTCTCTATCTTATGACCTCAAAACATGGAACCCCACTCGGGCTCTTTTTCTTCTTAAGGCTGTGGAACCCTATAGAATACTGATACACATAATTGTAACATAACGCTGGGTGCGTGCAGATTACAATAACCTCAGGTACACCTGTCTCGAAAGAAAAAAGTTGCAGAATGATTGTAGAGGTTGATCCATCTCTCCTTTGAGCTTGTAGACCCACTGGTGTTCCTTGGGCATGTAGCTGGAGATCTGGTGCTCTCACCACACCAGAATTTCCCCCTAAGCAGTATCATCTCCCTAGACCACCACTGGTGAGCTCCTGATTGCCCTTTAAGGCCCTGTTCACATGTCACTTCTTGGTGGATTTTCGTGATATTCTTAAATTCATTTGGTCATTGAAGGTGCCACAGCCTATGATAGACCCCTGTGGTCTAGCACATTGTGTCATGGTTACCCCATTCGTCTGTCCCCCCACCACTCTGCCAGCCTCTCTAGGCCATGGGCCATACTGTGTCCGCCCATTCCCAACATTTCTCACGTTGCATGGTATTGAGGAGGTATCTTAAAAGGGATTTTTTAACTGAAGTTAAGAATCTTCTCTTGCATGTCTTGTGAAGTTAATAACTCAAGGGCACTGAATGGTAATGCTACAAAGAGAGGCTGACTCTATGGCCAGGACCTTCCACCCTGCAGCATCAAGGAAGGGTGGAAATGTCAGTGTCTGCTTTTGGGAGCAAGGAGGGAGAGAGAACACTGGCCGGGGAAGGGCTTCCAGGGGCTTGATGGGGACCTGCGACTTGCTAGTAAACTGACCCTGGACCAGATCCTGGGGAGAAGTCTTCATTGCTTGATTTTAAGAAACAAAATGCAAGTTTTGATCACTGTTCTTTCCCTTCAAGGTCATGTCATATTATAATACTGTTCATTACAACAGAAGCGAATTTGTTTAATTTTTCTTCGGTCACTTTTCACTTTGTCAATTTTGAAAATACAGATGTATTGTTTTAGAAGAAGAAAACATCTGTTTAAAATCAGCTTTGGAAATTTCAGAATAAGTTAGCATAGATTGGATATTTCTAAAATAGATGTCCATAGTAACATGTACTTATTAAAGTTAATTGTGTTCACCCTGTAGATCAGTTTCGACCGGGTGTAAGATACAATTTTTTTCTGTATGGGTGCAGAAATCAAGGATATCAGTTACTGCGTTCTATAATTGGATATATAGAAGAATTGGGTAAGTTACGTGGGTAAGATTTCTTGGAGTTCAAGGTAATGTGAAGAAATAGAAATCAATTGCAAGAGTAGATTCTATAAATAGATTAAATGGAGATACTTAGCTCAAGGAAGGAAAAATAATTCATTTGATGAATTTAAAATCGTGATTACTTCATCTTCATTTCTCTAATGTTTATATTTCACAATTTCACCATTGAGAAAACCAGATCTTCATTTTGATGTCAAAGATACTTAATTTGCACTTAAACACATTTAAAACACCATTAGCTTCGAGACCGTCTGTTGGAGTGACCGCTTACAGACTTGGCCCAGGACGCTTCCCTGGGTATGTGTGTCCTGGGTTCCACCTGTGTGTCTAGTTATTAGTGTATAAGCTTCACAGGAAAAACACTTGTGATAGAATTTCTGAAATTTTATGACTCAGTAGAGAATAAAGTTCTAAGTCCAAATGCAGTTATTTTTGAGGATAGAAATTTCATGAAATGTTGATGTCTTGCTCCGTATCAGTAAATCCTCCCTTAACTATCCACTTTTTCCCTTTTACAGCTCCAATTGTTGCCCCAAATTTTACTGTCGAGGACACATCTGCAGATTCAATATTAGTAAGATGGGAAGATATTCCTGTGGAAGAGCTTAGAGGCTTTTTAAGAGGATATTTATTTTACTTTGAAAAAGGAGAGAGAGACACATCTAAGATCAGGGGTTTGGAATCCGGTAAGTAAATTACCTGATTGTGAGTATAGCAAGAACAGTACTTCCTAGAAGTTCTCATTAACCACAAAAAAAAGAAAGAAAGAAAGAGAGAGAGAGAGAGAGAGAGAGAGAGAGAGAGAGAGAGAGAGAGAGAAAGAAAGAAAGAAAGAAAGAAAGAAAGAAAGAAAGAAAAGAAAGAAAAGAAAAGAAAAGAAAAAGAAATTCTGCTGAGCAACTTAATACTTGTTTCCAAAACTGTCTGAAAAATAGGTAAATGAAAATGTATGAATATGAGAATTTTAGGATTTTAGTGTGTGATAAAAGACATGTACCACCGTTCATTTAAATTATTTATTCTGCAGCCCTTGGTAATAAGCCCCATAGGGCAGGGAGACCATCTCTTTCTAGTCTTGTATGGTGCATAACATAGCATCTTACATAGCATCTGTAATTATAATGAGGAGAAAAGCTCAGGAACCCAAAGAATGGCTCTGGAGCATCTGCTGTTCTGTGACAAAGAGCCACCCGTGCAGTTCACCAGGGCCTTAATGAGCTGGCCAGCTTAATTGACTTGACTGGGGATGTGTGTCTCCATTAGATCCTAAAAAGTACAGTCAGTCCTCGACAGTTGGTAAGCATGTGTCCAAAGACCTTAGAGAATTTTCAAATTTACAAATACAGAGATGTTTGCGCAGACCTCTGGCTTCTCCCTAAATTATATTTCTGTTGGGAGTCAGATGATTCCTATCCATAGCCACATAACACAAGCATATCATCTTTTCAGTTTGAGAGCTTTCATTTCCCTTAATGACCTCTCCTCAGAAAGAAGCCATTTTAATTATTTAATGCCTGTCCAGCAAGTAGAGAACAACAGTGCTGGATGGAGATGCTGACCAGGCATTAGCTAGGTTACTTCCCAGAGCAGCTGCATTCCATGGGTACCTCCCCCACATCACTGAGGTCTGCATTTCCTGAACCTTCCACTGCCTGTGAGTGAGAAAAATCCTAAACACAAAGTTCTACAAGCATCCAGAGTCTAGTGAAACTTTTCTTAAATGCTCAGAAATTTTACACTTGGATCAGCTAAAATTCTAGCATATGGACTTCCATTTAGAGGTGGTGGATTTGTCACTAAAAGAAGAAAACAAAGGCAACTGGACAGGCGAGAGTACACCGGATGTGGATGTTTGGGAGCTGATGGGCGTGGGGCACATGACCTAGAGAAAAGCGGAGCTCCATGAAATCCAGGTGGACGTTCAGGCTTCAGTGAGAAATAATTTCACTCATTGTAGGGGCCAGGATTGGAGACAGATGGCTAGGATGGATATGGGCTGAGCAGTGAGGGTGATTGAAAGTCTGCAAGAAGCAGTTAGAACCCCCAAGTCCTGCACCGACTTCATGTAGTGAACATGAGTGCTCTCTCCTCTGCCTGAAGACAAGGGGTTTATTCTTTGGAGAAACTGAGCCAGAGAGCCTCCAGAGAGGGGAACATGACAGGAAGCAGTGTCTGAAGCACCCTGCCTTCTCCTTCCTCTAATAGGAAGCTAATGGGACATCTTCAGCTAGGCCTGTTTCCTTGGACGAGATTGGAGGATCTTTCTTTGGAAAAAGTACATGGTTCCTGAGGAATGACACAAAAGGTGCTGATAGTGGGGGGCTGTCCCAGTGAAAGGCTGGAAATTGACCTGGTCATTTCCCACCAGTGATAAGCGATGCCCACCAACCAGTAAGCGCCACCAGTTCACAGTGACCTTCCAGAGGCTCACTCTTAACCATGACTAGCAGCCAAGGGTAACCAGATGGTTGAGAAAGATTCTAACACAAGGACAGAAACCGGAAGAAATGAGAGGAAACAGGTTCAGTGTAGGGAAACAGATTTAAAACTATCCTTGTGTGGTTGAGATGCGCTGTATTTATTGAAAGGGCACGATGTTCTAAAAAGGAACAATCAGAAGATAGGTAAGGGTTCATCAAAATTAAAAATGTGATCTAAGAAAATTTTAAAGAATTGAATAGAAGATAGAGGAAAATTGAAAATAGAGAAATTCTTCCCCAAATTACATGAATGCAGAGGAGAAAACTTTGGAGTAAAACGATTAGGAAGTTGGAGCATCAGAGACATGCACTGTCATGCGAGAGAGAAGAGGGAAATAGAAGGAAATTACCAAAGAAGGAGCATAAGACCATTTCCCAGAAGTGAAAGACCAGGCTATATAGAGTAAAAGTACACAGATAAATAGAAAAAAAAAAATCTACACCAAGGTAGATCGTCATGAATTTCCAGAGCACCTGATAGATAAAGAACAAGTGCTAGAAACAGAGAAAAGTGTCTTGTGTGTGAGGCATCAGGAATGAGAGCGGCCTCGGACTTCTCAACAGTATACCAGATGCCAGAAGATAGCACAGCTATGTGATACTGACTGAAAATTCAAGATACTGACTGAAAATTCAAGATACTGACTGAAAATCTTTCAACCTAGAAGTCTGTACTCTGTCAATCTTCCAGCCCGTGTGAGAGCAGAACGAAGGCATTCTCAGACCTGGAGAGCTGCAGATCTTTCCTCCCCCATGCCCCCTTGTCAGGGGGCTCTAGAAGAGCCCATCATCCTGAGGAAGCAAGGGGGGCAGGCCCATCCAGGAAGGTGGGAGCTAGGAAAGCCTCACGTCTGGAGCAGACACCCTGGGGAGGGGACCCCGGGGGACATAAGGGTTTGGGGGGAGCTGGTCGTGGCACTGGGATTTTGTTGTTGGGCCACATGAAAAATTGTGTTGAATGTTCACAGGAGGATATGGGAAGAATTAGGAATAGGTACACTAAGCAAATGAGGGCAAAAACACGCAGTTACAACAACAGTAAAACAAGAAAGGAAACATGAGCAGACCAAGCAATTTGTCTTAACAGGAATTCATGTTTCTATGATCCTAGTGATGTACACGCTGGATTTCCCAGACATTGCGATGTGTTTGTGTGAATGACGTGGGATGAGAGGGAGAAGGGGTGTGGAGAACACCAAAGCGTCACCTTCTTTGTAGGACGTGCATACGGAAGGTCTACATCAAATTTATAAATCAAAATCAAATCAGATTTGTAAATCAAAGCACTGCCAGTCTGAGGTTTTTTTTTAAAATACGGAAGTAAATCCGCAAAGAGGCAGATTGTGTGGTGATTGTCGGTGGCAGGGGAAGGTGCTGGCAGGGAGCTGCTACTTTTTGGCTGTTAGCCAATTAGTACAGTTTGGTTTTGCAAACTGTTGTCTTCCGGTATTTTGATTCAAACTTAAAAATAATGGTTTAGACAGTTCTTCATACTTCTTTTGAAATGATGCAAGACTTCCTCGCCAGTGACTCGTCCGGCAACCCTGGTGCACTGCCTCTACCCCGGGTTGTTTGGAGCAAGTGCTCTAGCGAGGCGGGCTCTCCTCCCTCGAGCCTCTCTCTCAGCTCAGGCAGGACCAGCCCCAGGCACCGCGTCCCCCTCCCCAGCAAGTTGCGGTTGTGGTGTGTTCTCATGTCCTTAGGAAGAGAAGAGACTTCTCTTGTTTGTCGGCTGTACACTGGGATTGTCCTAGGGAATGTATGGCAACTTCACTTCCACAGGCAGAGAAACTCAAGCTCAGAGTGGTTTACGTAACAGGTCCAGATTCCACGACTACTAACTGGCAGAACTTAGCTGATTCCACAGGCCTTGGTCCTCCCGGTGACCAGCAACCAGTCACTTGAAAGGGATGTGGGTAGAACAAGAGATGAATGACCAGGTGTTTAAAATGGTGTAGAGATCAGGAATAATAATCTTTGCTTTAAAAATAGGTCGCTCTGATATAAAGGTTAAGAATATTACCGACCTCTCCCAGAAGACACTGAGAATTGCCGATCTTCAGGGTAAAACGAGTTACCATCTGGTCCTGCGAGCCTATACAGATGGTGGAATGGGCCCAGAGAAGAGCATGTTTGTGGTGACAAAGGAAAATTGTAAGTTAATTACTGCTGTTGAGATGCTTTCCACACTTGAGTGCACATAACGCTTCTAGCAAGTTTTGTCGCTGTAGGAACCCTCTTCTAAAAAATTTCACGTGTTGCATGTTTAAAGTGGGTAGCCAGCAGTGTTAAGAGGCCATGGGGATGGCTTCATATTTATTCTTGTCAGTTATCTGGAGCTGTTTCCTCGTGAGTACCTAAGAAATTAAGGAATTAAGGATACCTCTGAAGTCTGGAGTTCTGAATGCATGTTGAATTCAGATAATGGTGACCCACTTTATCCTTTTTTGCCCTAACTATTCTAAATGTGATTTTTAACATATCTAGAGAAGGGTGAAAGAAATATCCTTAAAAAAAAAAGGAAAGCCCAGCATTCACAAATTTGAGATGGAGACTGGGGAAGATAGTCTTGACTGTCTGTGGCAAAGAACTTGAGTCGGGGCATGGCATGTCCTGTAGCCCCGAGGTGGGCTTCACACACTGAGTAAAGCACCGTGAGGATACAGTTCTCAGCCAGGGGTGATTTTTGCCTCCTGGGGGATACTTGGCAATGTCTGGTGACATTTTCGGATCCCAGAACTGTAGGGTGCTCCTGGGATCACATGGGTGAAGCCCAGGGATTCTGTGGAACTTCCTAGAGCGTGCACGACAGCCTCCTCGCCCGCCCCGTACACAGGGAAGAAGAATCTAACGGTCACTAGCGCTCAGCTGTGCTCTAAAGAATTTTAAGTATTAGTGTAAACATTATTAAAATGCCTAAAGGTCATATTTGAGTAGTTTTTCAATGTCCCTGGAGCAGTGAAATTTTTTTCCCTTTAAATAATCTATCAACTTAAATGTCTTCTGATAGGAATTTATTCTACACTTCATGCTAAAAATAGTGATGTGAATATATCCAATATTCTCTTTTTAGCTGTGGGATTAATTATTGCCATCCTCATCCCAGTGGCGGTGGCGGTCATTGTGGGAGTGGTAACGAGCATTCTTTGCTATCGGAAACGAGAATGGTAATGGTACCTGCATTTACTCTTGCTGTTGTGTTCTTAAGAGCATGATTGTTTAGTTTATGTGTTAACGGAGAAGTACTTGGCTGAAACTAGTCAGTGAAAAATGTGGATTTAGTCAGAATCAATGTTGGATTTAATAGTAAGCAAGAACATGGCATGTTATTTAAAGGTTTTTAGTCAAGTGAAAGGTAAATTTTTTCCTGCTGTATTTACTAATAATTTTAAGTAATAGCAGATATACTAAAAAATATTTACAGGCATAAAAAGGGCAGTACCTCTATGCAAGATTAATGATTAGGATCACGTTTGTCCTGATGACCTATTTAGAAACTACTATCATTTATTCATTATTCAACAAATATGAATGACATCTCCCATGTGAAGAGTGAGACAGAGGTGAACTAAATAAGCGTGATCCTTATAGACTTCTATCGTAGTAGGGAAAGGTGGACATTAAACACATAATCATCCAGTAAATGCACGCTTACAAAGTATGAGTGGGTACTAGGAAAGTCACTGGGCACCAGGAGGGGAATAACAGGAACCACATCACTAGAGATGCCAACCAAGGCTTCCCTATGGGAGTTCCATTTGAGTGGAGTCCCAAAGTGTAAGGAGAGGGGAGAGTGTTCCAGGGAGAGAGAAGAGCTCCCGTGCGGGCTCAGACATTGGAAAGAGCTTGGTCATCTGGAGAAAGTGAGAGGAACTGTGTGTCTGGGTGAAGCTTGAGAGGCAGGAGGTGAGGTGAGGTGGTAAGCTGGGACTCTGTGTGAGAGAGTACATCATGGTCAACTGGCAGGCACTGTCCTGGGCTGGGTTTGGGACAGATGGCTGTGTTCAGGCATAGACAGCCCTCACTGGCATTAAAAATGCCATCATTCATGACAGAGAAGAGAATGTATTCTAATAATCTCGGTTTATAAATTAGCATAGTAATAGTTTAGAACTATAGAATACCCTGTTTCGGTAACCATCTTTTCATTACCAAAAATCACATTTTAAAAATGATTTTAATACAAAAGATAACATGAGAGAGTTTATTTTTATTATTATTATTTTTTTAATGTTTATTTATTTTTGAAACAGAGAGAGACAGAGCATGAACAGAGAGAGAGGGAGACACAGAATCCGAAGCAGGCTCCAGCTCTGAGCTGTCAGCACAGAGCCCGATGCGGGGCTCAAACTCACGGACCGTGAGATCATGACCTGAGCCAAAGTCGGACGCTTAACCGACTGAGCCACCCAGGCGCCCCAACATGAGAAAGTTTAAAAGCTAGAACATTTCATACTTAACATTTAACAAAGTTGTTTTGTTTTTTCCTGCAGGAATTTCAAATACTAAACTTCCTTTTAACAGCTATAAATGTAATATGGCACTGAGAAAATACCCTTTATGTTTGCATTTAGTTTTTGCTCAACATTAATAGCCTTTTCCCCTAATAGTCCAGAACCTGTTACGAGCAGTGGAGAACTGCCTGATGCAAATATGTTCCCACAGTAATGGGCCCTGCTTAATCTAGTTTGCACTGTGGACGTTTGAGTAGATGAGCAGGTCCTCTGTTTCACTTATGATTTGGGAGTACAGTCACCATTTCAATTCATTGCTTTCCATTTTCAGAAGATGCTGTCGTTCTAAAATAGAAGTACCGCTTGTCTGTTTCAAAGAGGAACCTGTCAGTGCATTGTACACAAAGGTTCATGAATGATCACACTAAAAAGGATCTTGCATTTTTATCTCAGAAGTTCATTAAAGCATCATATAAAATGTCCAAGTAAACCTAGTGATTTACTAACTTATTTGTTGTCTAATTGATCATCTCGGTTATTAAATGTACTTAATCATCTTTATTTAAAGGATTAAAGAAACCTTCTACCCTGACATTCCAAATCCAGAAAATTGTAAAGCTTTACAGTTTCAGAAGAGTGTCTGTGAGGTAACCCTTTATTTTCTTACGTTTCTCTTTGAAGTACTGGCCTCCTTTTTTCAGTCTTTTGTGGAAAGCTTTTATTTATTTATTTTTTTTTTTAATTTTTTTTTTTTCCAACGTTTATTCATTTTTGGGACAGAGAGAGACAGAGCATGAATGGGGGAGGGGCAGAGAGAGAGGGAGACACAGAATCGGAAACAGGCTCCAGGCTCTGAGCCATCAGCCCAGAGCCCGACGCGGGGCTCGAACTCACGGACCGCGAGATCGTGACCTGGATGAAGTCGGACGCTTAACCGACTGCGCCACCCAGGCGCCCCTGTGGAAAGCTTTTAATGTGCAAATATCATTCAACGTAAAATGTATCAAGCGAAAGAGCAGTGCTTTAACATCTGCTGAACTTCTGAAATCATTAATTTTAACTTGTTTTTACCCTGCTCTTTTTTCCATTGCTATTAATAGCAAGGAACATATTGATATGTAAAAAAGTAACTTTGTTCTAGCAGGTACTACAGAAGAGTAGAGACAAATTTGTATAAACAGCTGTGAAAAAAATCCCTCCAGCAACGCCCCTTTTTGTGGGAAGGGCATTGTGGCAGCTTTTAGTGCTATTCTTAATCATTGTTTCATAATCTATTTCTAGGGAAACAGCGCTCTCAAAACATTAGAAATGAATCCTTGTACCCCGAATAATGTTGAAGTTCTGGAAACTCGATCAGCAGTTCCTAAAATAGAAGATACAGAAATAATTTCTCCCGTAGCCGAGCGCCCAGAAGAGAGCTCTGATGCGGAACCCGAGAACCACGTGGTTGTGTCCTATTGTCCGCCAGTCATCGAGGAAGAAATACCGAACCCGGGAGTGGATGAAGCCGGAGGGACCTCACAAGTCATTTACATCGATGTCCAGTCCATGTACCAGCCTCAGGCAAAACCAGAAGAGGAACAAGAGAGCGACCCCGTCGGGGGGGCAGGCTATAAGCCACAAATGCACCTCCCCATCACTTCTACTGTAGAAGACCTGGCTGCAGACGCTGACTTAGATAAAACTGCAGGTTACAGACCTCAGGCCAATGTAAATACTTGGAACTTAGTATCTCCAGACTCCCCCAGATCCACAGACAGCAACAGTGAAATTGTCTCTTTTGGAAGTCCCTGCTCCATTAACTCCCGACAATTTTTGATTCCTCCTAAAGATGAAGACTCTCCTAAATCGAATGGAGGAGGATGGTCCTTTACAAACTTCTTCCAGAACAAACCGAATGACTAACAGTGTCACTCTGTCACTTCAGTCTGCCATCTCAGTAAGCTCTCACTGCTGGTGCTGCCGTGCCAGCATGGGGCATCTTGGAGGGATCCTGTGAAGTGTTGTTAGCAAGGTGGACCTCACTGCGCAAGTTACACTCCAAGTGTTAATGTGCTCTTAACGTAGTCTCATGGCCCAAGTAGGGTAACTCAGAAATCCAGACCATGCAACTCAAGTTTCAGAGCTATCTGTGATTAGAGCCAAAGAATTCTCTCGTGCTCCACCTTTGGGGAGCACTTCATGGCTAATCCTGTCCGGTCCCACACATGCAAAACAACTCCCACAGCAGCGCGTTCTGTTCTGTCAGTGGTTTTCTCATACGGATACTTTATGGAATTGCAAGCAGATTTACAGGCACAGGAGAAAAATGTCAAAGTAACAGATGATGTTTATTTGCCTGACACTTGCTCCATTTAGATGAAAACCAAGCACAGATTTCAAAATTGTTAACATCATTCTCCTCTATCCACAGCATTTACGAAAAATTAATATAATTTTTAACGTAGCAACAGCTACTTAGTGTTTTGTTTGATAAAGTATACTGATTTCCGTGCCTACTGTATAATGGTTATCAAACAGTTTTCTCAGGGGTACAAACGTTGAAAATGAGCGTGACACTGACCAGCCCAAATGAGAATCGTGTTCTCTTGCTTTGGGAGGGTTTACAAACCTGTCCCTTATTTTGTAGCTTGCATGCTGACTTCCCTTGTTGCAGTTGGTTGCCCTAATACTTAAAATTGAAATTTCTGAGACTGCAGATCTAAGTTTTTCTAAACATCTGTTTTTTTGCGTGTGACACGGTGCCCGTTTTGTAAACATGAGCAAATTCAGTATTACTGATAAACACAGGATTCCAGGGGTTTCCTGTTTGAGGTGACTACTGGGCAGTCTCGCTGTGTCAGCCGTTCTCGTGCAGCAGCCCTGATCGGTGTCAGTGCCTCCTGAGAAGGCTGTGCCACGGAGCCCCACGCACCCAGGCGCTGATGACCCAGGACATCTCGTAGCAGACGTTCCTCCTGATCAGGCATTTTGGCAGGTTCTGCCTCTGAAATGATCGTGAGTCCAGACTGTTTGATCCAGTCCTCAAAAATTTTAAATCTAAAACTAAAAAGATAATGCTTCCTGTAGGAACAGTTACTCAAGGGCTATTTTGTATGAACTGTCACAAAGTCAGTTTGAATCTGTGGGCACGCCTGCATTAAGGGCACAGCATTTTCTTTGTGAGCTGCCCATGATTGTGTGTCCTCTCAGCATCCTCTGCCCCCTTTGGTCTTCATAAGTGATGTCTAGGACGAATGTGGTCAGAATGAAAAACTCAAAAGTGTATCTTCTGTTTCCCTCACCCCCACGTTGTCTTGTGTGTTTTGTCTTTTGACAGTTAAGGCAAAGTACCTGAAAAATGGAAATCTCTGAATACATCAAAATGTGCCTGGTTTTTTCTTTTTTATCATCCGAGGTTCTGTGATGTATTTGCATATAATGGATCAGTTGTCTTTTTTTCTAGCTCCTAATGTTTCTTTTATAAAAACCATGTCATGGAAAAAAGCCACAGGGTGACAAGGAGCAAAATCCATTTGGGTACTCTATGAATCCTGGCTCTAATTGCTAGAGTTCAACTAAATTCTTGAGCTTCATGTTACATGGACACGTGCGATGAACTAGAACTAATTATATACACACACGGTATATTAAAACCATGTCACAGCTCCTTGGGATTTAAAACAGGGAAAAATCTATCAAGCCAGAGCCATCCCTAACAGTTTTCTCTTCTTCTTTGTCTTCTTGGGCTCCTTTCCTCAGCTTTTACACCCCAGACACTCAGACCTGGGGCTGCCTTCGTTTCCCGCCGTGGCTGGTCATTACCGCACCCCTGCTGCCCGCAACTCATGCCTCGTTCCCCCTGAAACCAAATGGATCCTGCACTTCCATCTCCTTAGGATAGCATACGTGTTGGCTAAGGTAGACATTTTTTTTGGTGTGAACTACACCTCACCGAGAATGGGAAAAGGCAGGCCAGCAGAAATTGATCTGTGTCATCAGTACATATGCATTATGCATTGCAGCCGTGGCCATGTGGATCTGATGCCCTTTCCAGCCTATACAGCTCATTTGTTCAGCTGACAGGGAATATCACTGGGCTCTTGAGTCCTTTCACCTTGTCCGAGACTTCAGTACTTTTCCTGCATGAAAAAGGTTCAGAGAGCTGCTCGGCTCTGCTCTCCCCTGCCTCTGGGGTTCCATACACAGTGATCACTAGGTTAATGGGAAGCAGAGTAACACTGTTAGTGTGGGTAGGCTCCTGATAAGTTGCCTCATGCTTCGGAGTATGTGGTTTAGGTGTCAGGCCAAAGGTTCCTTGCCTTTTCCCACGGAATTGAAGACAGCCAGACCCACTGTGTAAATCCTAAGTTATTACCTCCCACCCACTCCCAACCCCCCAACCTGGGCATATGGGGGTGGCCTCAACACGGGGAGAGAGAGGGGAGGGGTGGAGAGAGAAGATGCCCTTTGTCACATATCCAGTTGTTTGTGGCACTGGAGACCCTGGTAAATGTGCACTGTCCGCCAATGCTGGGGCCATGCTCCAGTGTGAAAAGCAGTTTCGTAGGGGTCCTGCTCTGTCCAGTCATGGTAGCGCCTCTGCCTGGGGCAGGGGAGACTAGAATTGTTCTCTCCAGCCCTTCCTGACTGGGAAAGTAATTGGGAAATCCCTCTTTCCTCAACTAAGGCCAAGTCATTGCTTAGAACATTCTAAATATCTGAACTACAGTTACGCCCCACCATGTCTGTTTAATAGTACTGTGTATTAGGACGCATTTTCATATCTCTTACAAGCCAGTTCACTTAGTAGCCAATTTCAGATCAAGTTTCCCTTGTGAGAAATGGAGATTCTGGTTGTCATTGTGGCTGCCTTTCTGTTGTGAGTGGCCCTCTTAGGTAAACAACATTTAGCATAAAAATATTCTTAGAAGACGTAGCTAGCATTTTGACATTAGCTAGAGCTTGTACATTATGGACTGCGTGGATTAATCTCCACATAGAGTTGCAGTCATCAGTGTGTTGAACTGTAGAAGCCTGGATTTGAGATTGTGGTCCTGGGTATCTGGACAGTTGTGTGTTTATGTGCTTAGGTGACAGAGGTGCTCTGTTCTGCAGCTGAGACTCAGAAGCAGCCGTTCGTGGAACAAGTTCAGGGCGGAAGTGTCAGCCTCGTCTTCCATACCAGCATAACCTTCACGGCCCGTGGTTCTGAAGAATTTAGACACCCAGTACTGTCGCCCTCTCAGAAACTGGTGACAGTCACACTGTTAAAACTTGATGCAACTTGGATTCTTGCTGGAAGTTATTAGTCCTGTAATTCTTAGTGGTTTTCATGTTGTCCACGTTTAGGAACATTACAGCCCTTTCTGTGTTTGAATAACTAGATTTAGGTTAGTGCAAAAAGAATTTGAAGTCAATTTTACGGTCTTTTGAAATTGAAGTACTCCCTAACATTCGACATGCAGAAAATGTTATCTCAAAGCTTTCTACTGCTCAGGCACATAATCTGATAAGACTGATAAGACTTTTTTTTTTTTCTATTTACGCTAAAGTAATTTTCACTGTTATCTGTTTCGAACCATTTAAACATTTGCATATCTTTTATAAAATGTCTTTTTTTTTTCTTATTTCTTATCTAAAATTAAGCATCTCAGAATTCAAATGTGAGATCATTAACTATTTACAAAGACTAGGTACATAGTGGGAGTTCAATGAGTAATTGTTTATCGAGGCCCCTTCCAGAAAGTGCAGAATAAGCAGTTTTCCTGAAGGGTGGTATGTACCAGGATCTAGCTTGTGTGGATCTAAGACTATCGGCTGAAAGATTCAGATCTACTCACGAAGTAGCTCCAGTTTCAACGAAAACTTGGGAAAGACTCCTGCAAAAGCATCACTGTCTTATTCCTTGCATCTTATTCCCTCCCTCATGAGTATTCGTAGTGTCTTTTTATTTGATGGCTACAAAACTTGGGACCTGTTTGTGCCAACCAGCATGTGTTCTAGCGAACCAACACTACACTGATGTGTGAGCTTAACCGATTAATATAAGCATTCGTTCATTCTCTGGATAAACTCTTTCTTCAAAGCGTTTATTTTAAACTGGCACTTCCCACCAAAACAAAATTCCATGGTACCGTGCCCATCCATCATACTTTTTATATCCAGAAGAAGATTTTTCACAGAAGGAAAAGATTTTCTAAACTTACTGTAAATGCATCTTTTAGATATGACCTTAGAATATCATTGGAAAGCACTTGGTTTAAATTTGCTCCATTTATGTCTTCATGGATTATGTACCAGGGCTATTAATATTTAAACTTCTTATTTCAATACGGTCGTGAGATTTTTATTTCTTTTCAGTTTGAGCTTTTGTCTATTACATGATCATATTCATGCCAGTTATAATACAAATGAGCTATTTTTAATGCCTATATGGAGGATCAAGAACATTAAGTTCATGTGTCAGGCTTTATCGTGTGTGGTAAAATTCCAGGGGATGTGAGTTGATCTGGAATATATCCAAATTCTTACAATTATGATACTGAGTTCTGAAAGGTTTCTGTTGCTTTTAATCATGGGTAGTGCTTATTTCTCCCTCTATTAAGAATGTTCATGTTTTGGATTATAAGTGTCTAAGTTATAGACAGAATTTACCTATGTAAGACATAACTGCAACATTTTAATGAAAATTAAAAGTGTTTTAAGAGGGAAAACTTCTGAATGTTTTTATGTACAAGTGCCTAGCTGAAGAACCATAGAAACAGGAAGTTCAAAATCTCTTAAATATGGAAACTATACTGATTGAATATTAACCAAATACAAAACAGTAATAACATAGTACTTTTTGATGGCTATAAGTTAAAAGATGTGGGTGGGGGAAATGAATATTTAATTGATAAGAAAATTAATTTGTGTTACATAAA